ATTATTAATATAATATAATATAATATAATATAATATAATATAATATAATATAATATAATATAATATAATATAATATAATATAATATAATAATCAGGCTTCTGAAACATGGAGTCAATGTCCTCATCTCTCCCCTCGTCCCTGGGACCCTCAAACACCGCCACAGGTCCTGGCCCGGGGCTGTCCCCGGTGCTGGCCGTGCCTGGTGCCCACTGCTCTGTTCCCCAGGTGTCCCCAGCCAGTGCCACCTTTGTGGAGGGTCCGGAGGGAGATGGTGATGAGCAGCTCAGGGATGTCACCGGTGCCTGTCCCATGCTGGCCTTTGCCCAGAAGCATTTCCGTGCAGCACGGCGTGGGACCATGTGAGTGACCAGAGCTGGGACAGGGCTGTGCCATGGTGGGGACACCTGTGCTCACCTGCTCCCCTGTCCCTCCGGCAGGGACTCCCGTGGGATGAAGTTGCCAAGTGTGCTGGAGATGCTGACGTTCACCAAGGTATGGGGAGGTGGAGTTCTGAGGTGGCCTTGTCCTGCTGTCACCTGGCCTTGTCCTGCTGTCACCCTTTGAGGTCCCAGCAGGGTCCAGAGCTGGCCCTCTCCCCCTGCTCCAGATCCCCATTCAGGAGTCACTCATTGAATTTGTGGATGGTGGCCTCAACAAACTGGCTGCTGAGGCTTTCCAAGGTAGGCAGGGGCACGAGTGTCCTGTCCCCTGTCCCTCAGCCATCCCCAGCCCTGTCCTTGGAGGAGGGTGGGGCTGGACTGGGATGGGCAGAGGGGGTGTCCTATGGGAGTTAAGTTGTATTCCCAGTGCTCCATGTGCCCAGGATGTGTGTCCCTGGGGAAGGGACGTGCTGCCCTGTGTCACCGTGTGGCTTTGTTGTCCCCAGCTGTGATGAAGTTCATGGGTGACCATCCCCTGCGGGGGCAGACAGAGCTGGACATCGTCTGCACCATGCTCAAGGTAAATCCACCCCTGGGGAGCTCAGTCCTGCGGTGGCCTGGGCAGGGTGGACAGAGAGGTGGCAGCTGTGCCTGTCCCCAGCTGTGTGCAGCGCACGAGGTCCTGCGGGATGAGGTGTACTGCCAGATCATCAAGCAGATCACCAACAACACCAGCTCCAAGCCGTGAGTCCCTCCACCCACGTGGGACAGCAGAGGCTGGCACTGGGACACCTGTACCCTGGCCAGGCCAGCTGCTCCAGCCTGGGGGACACCTGGGGACCTCATCCCTGTGCCACCGTGGGCACCCTCGCCCTGCTTGGGGGATCAGCCCTGGCTGTGCCCACAGGGACAGCTGCCAGAGGGGCTGGAGGCTGCTCTACATCCTCGCTGCCTACCACAAGTGCTCCGAGGTGCTCCGGCCCTTCCTCCTGGCCTTCCTGCAGGATGCCAGCAGGCACCCGGAGCTGCCTTTCCATGGTAGGGGCCATGCACACCCCAGGGTGCTGGGAAAGGACACCCCAGGTGTCACAGAGCTCAGGAGGAGCTCTAACTGAGCAGCTCAGCCCCTTCCTTCATCCCGGTCCCTGCTCCTGCCAGGCATCGCCAAAGCCTGCGAGCAGAACCTGAGGAAAACTCTGCAGTTTGGTGGCCGCAGCCTCTTCCCCAGCAGCATGGAGCTCAAGGCCATGGTGGTGAGGCCGGGGGCTCGCGGGGTGGAACAGGGCTTGAGATCCCCCCCAGAAATTCTGGGTACCCACATGGGGTCAGGTCCTCCCTGTGGGCTTGGGATCTCCCTCAGACACCACCCTGGAATGGAGCTGATCCTTTTTGGGGATCTTCCCAAGACAACACAGCCCTTTTTAGGGTCTGCTCTTCACCACTTTGGGGGTACCCTGAGCCTTCAGGGGTCCCCAGTGGGGATGGAGCTCTGTGGACGTGGAGTTGGGGGCATGATGGTTCAGGTGGACAGGATGGGCAAGAGACAGGATGATCTCAATGGGATGGTTCCTTAGGGGTAGCTGCAGGATTTGGGGTGTCCTGGGGGTTCTTGCTGCACCCCAACGTGTCCTCCCGTGCAGGCTGGACGCAGCGCCAAGCGCCAGCTCTTCCTCCTGCCCGGTGGCATCGAGAGGCACCTCAAGATCAAGACGTGCTCGGTAAGCCAGAGGGGACAGGAGGCTCAGTGCACCCCAAAATTATGGTTATGGTGAATATTATGGTGACACCTCAGCTGTGGGCACCCAGAGGGGGTGGATGTGGGGGTGCTACACCCTTTGGCTGTCCCTGCTGTGGGACTTCATCCTTTGGGAAAAGCAGCTCATCACTGGGATGAGCCTCAGCGCAGGAGGAGTTGGTGGCCCAGAGCACAACAGTGGGACGTGGCAGTGTCCCAGCCACCTGTCCCTGTGCCCAGGTGGCTCTGGATGTGATCGAGGAGCTGTGCTGTGAGATGGGGCTGCAGAACCCAGAGGCTCTGGAGGAATACATCCTCTTTGTGGTGACCGACAGAGGTGAGGAGCCGGCAGGGGTGGGACAGACGGGGATGGGACGGCCATGTGGGTGGTGTGGTGGCACTCTCAGACTCCTGGGTGGCACAGGGCAGAGCGTGCGGCCCCTGACCCGCCGGGAATACGTCCTGGACGTGGCTGCAGAGACCGAGCTCCGGGACAGCAGCTACAGCTTCTGGTGCCGCCGCGTGGTCTGGGGCCAGCCCCTCAAGTTCGACAACGAGCTCTACGTCACCGTCCACTACAACCAGGTCTGGCCACCCCACCAGCCTCCCCCAGGGCCACCTCCCTGCCGCCCTCAGAGCGTGCCCTGTCCCCAAGCCATGTCCCTGTGCTCTGTCTCCCTCCCAGGTGCTGCCTGACTACCTCAAGGGGCTGTTCACCGTCCTGCCGCCGGCGAGGCCGGGAGAGCAGCACTTCCCGCACGTGGCCAAGCTGGCCGCCCTCCAGCACCGAGCCAAGGACCGCCACCTCCTCCCCACGGCGTACGGCACAGCACGGGGCATCTGAGGGGGAAACACGTGTCCTGTGGGACTGGGGACCCACTGGGTGGTGCTAGGCCTGACCTCGGGCTCCCCACACAGGAGGGAGATGCAGGACTACGTCCCCCCACAGCTCTTCCGCCTGCTGAAGCCGCAGTCCTGGCTGCAGATGGTGACCCAGCACGTGCAGCAAGCCCAGGCACTCAGCGCCCACCAGGCCAGGGCACAGTTCCTGGGTGAGGGGACAGCCACAGAGAGAGGATGCGATGCTAATGAGGACATAGTGCTAATGAGGCTGTAATGCTGCCTGGAGGGTGATGATGATGGGATGCTGGTTGTCTGCACAGAGCCTGGGGTGCTGCACATGGAGGGCAGGATAGGACAGGGACACCCATTTTTTCCCTTGGCTGCTCCTGGGTGCAAGGCCACCCTGGGGACTGGGCAGATGGGGGTGGCAGTGGGCACTGAGACCCCCCGTCCTCTGCCCTGCAGGGCTGCTGAGCGCCTACCCCATGTTTGGCTCGTCCTTCTTCTACATCCAGAGCTGCAGCAACAACGCCATTGTTTCGCCCTGTATCCTGGCCGTCAACCAGAACGGCCTCAACTTCCTCAGCAAGGAGACCCACGTAGGTGTGGGGCCGTGTGGGACCCAGGGAATGGCTGGGGTTGGAACAAACCTTAAAGCCCATCCAGTTCCACCCTCTGGCCAGGGGCAGGGACACCTTCCACTAGGCCAGTTTGCTCCAAGCCCTGTCCAAACTGGGCTCCCTCGTCCCCTTAGAGGGGTTCCTGGGCACACAGGCCACCCCCCTGTCCCCTCCCAGGAACTCATGGCCAAGTTCTCGCTGAATGAGATCCAGTCCACACGGACACAGCGCCCGACAGCCGGATCCAGCTCTCCCTACGTGGAGATCACTCTGGGAGACCTCCTGGCCCAGGGCATCACCCAGCTGCAGCTGGAGCAGGTCGGGGACACCTGGGGACATCGGGGGGGCCCTGCTGGGGCTCTCACAGCGGTGGCACAGCCACTGCCCATCGGCGTGTCCCTCTGCAGGGTCTGGAGCTGTGCCGCGTGGTGGCCGCGCACATGGAGCGGCTGCTGGGTGCCCGGGAGAAGAGGCTGACGCTGCCGCCCAGCGAGATCACCCTGCTCTGAGCCCGCCACGGCCCGGATCCCCGGCACCCCGGATCCCCGGCAGCGGGGACAGAGGGTGCCGTGACCATGGGCTGTCCCCAGCTTGGCCAGTGGCCGCTGTCCCCCTGTCACCACCCCGCTGTTCTGCGGTTTTATACACACCCGGCAGCCCGGCATGACTCGGTGTCCGTAGTTTTGTGTTGCGCTCGCTGCTGCAGGGGGGATGCTGCCCCCCGTGTCTGATTCCACACCGATCACCATGTGTTTCCTATTCCCGTGCCTCAGTTTCCCCCACCGGTCTCGTGTCCGTTTCCCCATGCCGGTGCCTAAGTTTCCCCTCCATCTCGCCCGTGCCTCAGTTTCCCCGTGCCCCCCTCCTTCAGTCACTCCCGCCCGCTTGTCGCGCTCGCCGCGTCCGCCAGAGGGCGCCTGTGCCGCGCGCCCGCCGCCACCTCCACGCCCCACCCTCCCCACCGCCGCCGCGCGCGCGCGCGCTCCAGCCGCCCAATCAGCCGCCGGCCCGCGGCCCTCGCGGCAGCCTCCCGGCCAATCAGCGTCGCGCGGGGCGGAGCGGGGCGGGGCCGCCGCTGCCGGTTAACGGCGCCGGTGGGCGCGCGCCGGGGGCGGGGCTGGGTCGCGCGCTCTGTCCGTGCGTGCGCGGGAGGGGCGGGGCCGGGGGCGGTGGCGGCGCGTGCGCGGCGGGGCGGGGCGGCCCCGCGGCGATCCGGGATGTCGGGCCGGCTCCTGGTGACGTAGCGGGAAGGGCCGCGCCAGACCCCCGCCCGCCGCCGTCCCCCGGCACGGCACGGGACCCCCCCACGCCTCCTCCGGTTGTCCCCCGCCATGGGCAGAGCCGCGGCGGTGGGAACGGGCAGGGAGTCCGGGGCCGCCGCTGGGAATGTGCCAGGCCCTGCCGCCGCGTGAGCACCGGCACCGGCAGCGTCGTCCGCGCCCGCCCCGGGCCAAGCCGTGAGTGTGGCGTCCGCCGGGCCGCCCCTGCCCCGGGAGGGAGGGAGAGGGCGGGAGCTCCGTGCGCCGGGAGCGGGGTCCCATCTCCCGAGAAGGGGGGCCGGGAGAGGGTCTGGCGCGGTACCGGGATCCCGTGCTCACCTCCCCGTCCTGCGGGGCTCTCTCTCCCGGCAGGGCGGCGGGTGCCATGAGCAGCAGCTGCGCGTCCCCCGCCGCCGCCCGCCGCCGCCTGCAGCGCCGGGATCGATAGAGGCGGGGGCTGCGGACGCGCCATGGCCGGCAGCGGCTACACGGACCTGCGGGAGAAGCTCAAGTCCATGATGCCCTACCGGGACGGCCACAAAGGCGGCGGCGGCGGCGGCCTCCCGCGGGAGCCCCCCGAACCGCCGTACGAGCGCAAGCGGCGGCACCAGGAGGACTCCGGCTCCGAGCCCAGCGACTACGAGGAGCAGAAGGAGGAGGAGGAAGCTCGGAAAGTGAAGAGCGGCATCCGCCAGCTTCGCCTCTTCAGCGCCGAGGAGTGCGCCAAGATCGAGGCGCGCATCGAGGACGTGGTGTCCCGGGCGGAGAAGGGGCTCTACAAGGAGCACACGGTGGACCGGGCGCCGCTGCGGAACAAGTATTTTTTCGGGGAAGGTTACACGTACGGGTCTCAGCTGCAGCGGCGGGGCCCCGGCCAGGAGCGCCTGTACCCGCGGGGGGAGGTGGACGCCATCCCTGAGTGGGTGCACGACCTGGTGATCAGGAAGCTGGTGGAGCACCGGGTGATCCCCGAGGGCTTTGTGAACAGTGCCGTCATCAACGACTACCAGCCGGGGGGCTGCATTGTCTCCCACGTGGACCCCATCCATATCTTTGAGAGGCCCATCGTCTCCGTGTCCTTCTTCAGCGACTCGGCGCTCTGCTTCGGGTGTAAATTCCAGTTCAAGCCCATCCGGGTGTCGGAGCCCGTTCTGTTCCTGCCCGTCAAGAGGGGGAGCGTCACGGTGCTCAGGTAACTCGCCCGCGTTGCTGAGGCCCCGGTTGTGTAACGCGGATCACGAGGCGCACGGATGCGCGCCCCGACGGCGCCTCGGGCTCCATCTCCTCCTCCGGTCGGTGCTCGGGGGCTCGCTGTGCTGGTAGGGGTGAAACAGCGATTTTAGGGGGGTGGTCCTGCCGTTGTTGTGGGTGAGGATTTGAGGGGGTGCCCTCTCCATGGACCTTGAGGCGAATGCTGGTGGGAGCAGAGCTGAGCTGGCCACTGAGTTCCTGTGAATGGTTAAAGTAACACGATGAGACACAAAATGGATCCTTTGCCCAAGAGTGGTCAGAGCGGAGCAGCTGTAGGGACAGGGCTCCTGGGTCTATTCTTAGCTGGGCCGGTGCTTCTCTGACCTGACCTTAACCGTGGAGAGGAGGTGTGAATGGCCCCGTCCTTCCCAGTCTGTAAACTGGGAGTGCTGAGCCCTCCCCTGCGCTGTGACGATGGGGAGAGCAGAGTGCAGAGCCCCGCGTGATTGTCACTTGGAAGTGCAGCGGGTCACGGGCACAGGAAGGGACTTGGTGTGCGCTGAGGAAGAGCCCTGGAAGGTGGAATGACCTGCCCAAGGTCACGCAGTTGGCCGGCAGTGAGGCTGGGGTTGGCACCGGGGAATGCCTGCTTGCTAATGCCACTGCTGCCCACACAGGTGAGGGGACAGGCAGGTGAGGGGACAGGGCTGGAGCACCGGGATCCTGCTGTCTCCAGCTCCTGGGGAGGGCAGCTGGAAGCCTGGCATTGGTGCTGCCAGTCCCTTGTGTCCCTGAAGGTCAGAGTGCTCCCTGCCAGCAGCAGGGATCGCCAGGGCTGTGCCAGCAGTGCCACCAGCTGTATCCTCCTGTGGGGGGTGGCTTTTTTGGGCTGGTGAAGGTCCAGGCCGGTTTTCCGGGCTCCCAGGCCGTAATTCAATCCCTTGCTTTGGCTTGTAAATTGATCGCTGCAGGGTTCGGGAAGGAATTTTTCCCCCCACAAACACACGGCCTCCTTGACTGGTGCATCAATAATAAATGCCGAGATCTCGCGTCGCTTTTATCTCGGAAAAGCTGCACAAACATTAACTAATCCTTGCTGTACCCCGGTGTTAGGTAACTTGTGTGGATTAGCCAGGGATGAGGGAGGCTGCAGAGGGAGGCGGGAATGGCGCTGAGGACATTTTCTCATTCCCTGGTGGTTTGTCAGGGCTCGGGGGGCAGAGGTCGGGGTGATTTTGTGAAATGGGACCCAAGGGGACCCATCCTGCTCTGTATCTTTTTACTGCAGAGCGAGCTCCATCCCCAGGGATGGACTGCTGGGTGTGAGGCAGCTGCTCTGCTCTCTGACTGCTCTGAGATACCAGGAGGGAAACTTTCTGCCCCAATTTTCCTGCTCCTGGTGCAAACCCCTCTGCTGTCTTTCCTCGTCAGGCCTGGATAAATAGTTGTCCTTGCTTTTACAGCCAGAGGCCTTCTGTTTTTTAAGGACAGTGAGAGTTTTATCCTGCTTGGAAGCATTCTGGCAGAGCTGCTAATGCAGGGTCAGCCTCAAGTCTTGCAGTCAAAGCCTCTTGAAAAACTCTGGAGGAGGATCTGCAGTGGAGGATGGTGGGAGGAAAGAGATGCTTTCTCTGCTCCAGGACCAGAGAATGATGTTTTCTTATGCCAGACCCTTGCTCTTCCTTCTCAAAACTGCTGGGAAGAGGCTGCTGGCTCAGGGCTCATGGAATTGCAGTGATGTGTCTCCCAGGGGTGTTTGGGTTGTTGGCAGTGTCACTCAGGTGCTGTAATCAGCTTGTTAATGTAGCTAAAGGAGTCCTACAAACAACATGAAGATATCTTGATATCTTTTCCCTCCAAATCCAAGGGCTGCTTTCTGACCCACCCACTGCAGTTTGATCACAGTCAGATGTTCCTCCTTCCAGCAAGTAATAGACTTTAAAACAGGGATTATTTCAAATTTGGTACAGCAGTTAGCAGGTACTTTACACTCACTTATGGGAGATTCTGCCAGAGTGACTGTTGTGTGTTGACAGGATCCCGTTTGGGATCAATTCCTGGCCTCACAGCAGATCTCCTGCTCTCCCATCTCCCCCCAGCAGTCAGCAGGAGCAGGAGAGGTGCAGAGCATGCTCAGGGGTGTGGCACCAAATCCAGCCCTTGGTCGTGACTGAGTCAACTCCCCAAACTTGGCATTTTGTCCTCTGGGTAAACAGCTGCTGGAGGCAGTTACCCTGGAGATGGGCAACGGGCACAGATAGAGGTGGCATGCCTGTAATGTCTGGGATTCAGATCCTGCTGGGTCAGTGGCTGCAGCCTTTCCAGGGAAGCCTTGTGGAAGTCCTGAGGGTCTAAAGTAAGCTGTCATGTTCCTGGAATCCTCTTTGACCCCACAGCACTCTCACACTGGCCCCAGATTGCCCCTCTCCCCTTCCTGCTCCTGATTTCACAGCTGCTGAGCCAGTAGGGATTTTGTAGAGGCGCTTTCCCCATTTCCCTCCCTTAATTTTGTTTGCCTGCCCTGAAGCAGGATGTGGTGTTTGCCAACACTGAACCTGCCTCAGACTGCTTGGAAAGCGTTCAGCCCTCCAATGACAGGTGAGGTGGAACAGGATTCACGTGGCTGGGCTGTTCCCCTCTGCCAGAAGGCAAAGGCTGAGCCACCCCATGACCTGTAATGAGCCCTTTCTCCTCCCTTTTCACATCTGTAGGGAAGATTTGCTCTTGTAGCTTTTGTGATCTAGAACATGACCTTCTCCAGTCCCTTCTTTTCCCACAGCCCTGGGGAGCAGGAGCTCCTGCAGGTTTGTCCCAGTGGCAGCCAGGCCAGCAGGAAGCATCAGCTCAGTGTGTGCTGCTGGATCCCAGTCCTGTGACCCATCAGCTTGTGGGTTTTTCTTGTTTTAACAACAATTTGGTGAGCATCAATCGATAGAAGCAGTGGTAGGGAGATGGAGGAATTTGCCTTTTCATCTGTGCTTTGAGAATGCTTGGGAAAAGGGAAAGGAACAGGGGGTGTGTGGAGCCACCTGAGCTGGGGGTTCCAGGTGGATCCCTGCCCTGCAGCTGCTGTCACAGGAGGCACATCTCAGCACTGAAATGCCAGGTATGTTGTGTGAGCATTGGGAAGAGTGCAGCTGCAGCTGGAGGAACGAAAGGCACAGGTAACATTTCCCAAGTTCCCAGAGCTTGTGCCTTACAGGCTTCCCTCAGCTGGAGAGTGCTCTGGGTCATCCCCTGGCAGTTTGTAATGGCAGGGGAGTGCTGGGATGTGTGTCCCTCCTGTTGTCTCCAGGCGTGCCTGGTGGAAGCGCAGTCAGAGCAGGTTGGAGTCGCTGGAGGATGAAGCTCCTTCCTTCCTTCCCAGCTGGAGGGATCTCTGTGCAGCTGTCTGCTCCAAAATAGCCTGATCCCTCAGAGCAGGCTCTGCTGCAGAGGAAGTTCCACGTGTGCCAGTGGTGATGAGGCAGAGATTTGTTCAAGCTTTTCTTGTTAGAGTCTGTAGAACTTCAAGGCTTCCTTTCTGGTGATGTTTGCGCAGAAATATCCACTTTTATCTCTGTGTGAATCAGTTCTGGCTCAGCAGAGGCTCTTCCAGGTGTAAAAAGACTCAGGAGAGAGTTGGGGGTGTAAGGTTTGACAGGTTAGTGTGGAATTGGGGACTTGTTTTGGGGTAGTGTGTGGAAAACATCAGCACTTCCCCTGTTCTTCTGGAAAACGCTCTAGGATGGAGATGTCACACTCAGGTGTTCTTGTGGGCAGGAATTTATGATTTTCCTTTCCAGATTGTTTTGAGTTTCTTCTCTGGGCAAGAAATGTGTGTGTAGACCCTTGATATCATTATGGGTGTTTTTCTTCAGGGTCTGCCCCTTCACCCATCCTCAGGGCGTGCAGGGCTGGGCAGTGGGTGAGAAGTTCATGCTGGCATGAGGCAGCACAAGTATGGCACAACAAATAATCCTTTCATTTCCCTGCCTGTGCAGAGGCACTCCATCACTACATATGGTATAGTGCAGAGTTTTCCACACCAGTTTGGCACTGGGGCAGACTGGTGTGTCCCCCTTATGGTCTCAGACCACAGTGGTGGGGCTGTTGTTTGATCTGGACCACAGACTTGCTGGTGCCACTCTGGAAGTGATCTGGAAAGGGTGAGAGGGTGTTCTTGCCTGGGAAGGAGTGAAAAGGGGTGTCCAGGCTGACACCTTGTGGGTCTGGAAGGAGACCTTTCCCTGGTGTTCAGGGTGATGCTGAGGGTGCTGTGTTGAATGCTAACGTGGGTGATATTCATGAATTCACTGGAGCTTGACACAGAGATTCCAGGAACATAATAGAGCATCATCACGAGCCCCTTGTTGTGTTCTGCAATGCCTGGAGCACGGTGGGGATGGACACCACCCCTGCTTCAGCTGGTCAGGCCTTGGTCTTGTAGCTGTCCTTGCAGAGCAGTAAATCTGTGTGTGAGGAGGCGTTTCTGGGTGAGTGGGTGGCTTATCTAACCAGATCAAGAAAACCCGGTCCTGTCCCCAGAGAAGACTTGTGTGTGTGAGCTCTGTTCCCTGCTCAGGGTGTCCTGAATAACCTGCCAGCCCCTGACCCTGGCCTGGAAAAGCCTTGTGGGGACACTGGGGCTGCTGATTTCTGCTTCAGGCTGGGCGTGCAGGCTTGAGCAGCTTCACCCAAGGTGTTGCTGCCCTTGCTGGGTGTTTGAGGAAGCTCTGGAGGTGTTCAGCCTCTCTTTAGCCCGTGCTGGATTGCAGAGGGCTCTCGGTGAGCTGACACTCTCCAAACGGCAGGCAGAGGGCAGCCCCAGCGCTGGGATGTGCTGCTCACACCCTTGCCGTGATGGGATGTGCTCCCAGCACGGTTTGTGTGTCACACCAGGTCTGGTGGCTGCTCTCCATGGACACACCGGGGTTTCACCTGCTCTGATTTCACCTGGAGACAGAAGCAGCCATCAGGAAATGCTCCAGTGTGTGGTGGGAAGCTGAGGCTGTCCTTGGCCGTGGCTTTTCTCCAGCCTGCTGAAAATGCGGAGTATCTGGAATTATTTCACACAGTGAAATACTGCTGCTGACAACAGCCACTGCTTGAGCCTGGCTTTTCCTCAGCCCAGGGAGCTGTTTCACCCTGTTACAGAGGAGTGCAGCTTGGTTTGCAGGTCTGAATTTGTAGGTTACCCCACGAGTGCTGGGTTAGGGCTGGTGCTGTTCTTGTGGTGGCTGAGGATGTGCCATCTGATGGGGAGGATGATGAGCAGGAAAAGGGGGTGAGAGGCTCAGCTCTGCATGACTGCACCCCTCTGTGACTAAAAAACCTCCTTGATGTGTTACGTGTTTGGGTCTGGGTGTGGTGCACACCTGAGCTGTGAGAGATGGCTTTTCTCATAGGCATGTTTGAGATGATGCTTTGGAGGAATGGGCTCATTTGCCCCCCTGTTGCTTTCTAATTTCTTCATAAATTAATTGTCTGAATCTACAGTTTTACATTTGTACATGTTTTATTCACAGTGCTGGAGCAGGTGGCAGTTTCCTCTGAAAAACTGAGTCATGAAACCCCCCAAAACCCCCTGACTGTCCCCATTCTTTCCCAATGTTTGTTCTTTCCTGCAAGTCCTGTGTGCCTGGGGGGTGGTGTTTGGGGGAGAAATTCCTGGTGCAAGTTAGGAAGTACTGGCCAAACTGAGTTGTTGAGGCTGGAAACAACTTTCTGCTCGTGCCTGGCATCTCCCTGATGGTGGCTTTTTGTTTCTGTTGTCAGTGGGTATGCGGCCGACGAAATCACACACTGCATTCGACCACAGGACATCAAGGAGAGGAGAGCTGTCATCATCCTCAGAAAGTAAGTGTTGAAGCCCTCCAGACAGCAAGATCAACGTGGATGTGGTGTCAGGATGCTTAAACACTTGAAAACTTACCTTGCTTGTTAATTTGCTGGCTTGATCTCGCACCTTGAATAGGTGTCACTGATGCTCACTTGTGTCGTGCCGTGCCTGGCAGTGGAAGTGGCTGGGACCTGTTCCTGCAGGGAACATCACTTCTTGGCTCTGTGCAGCAGCCCTTTGTTGTAATGTCTGGGCTTGCAAGCCCTGCTGGTGCCCAGACTGGCTTTCCTTTGGCTGTCCAGCCCCACACACCCAGGGTATCAAACTGTCTTGTTTTGGGCTGTGTGTTCAGGTGTCTGCTCATGTGAGACCCACGTGTGTGAGTTACCTGGATGGTCTTTTGAAGCTGATGCTTGTGATGAGGAATGTCCTGTGAAGCAGAGGAAGTTTTCTTGGTATCATGGCTGTTGTTTCCTGGGGAGAGAGCGAGACACTGGCCTTGGAGGGAAACATGTAGAGAGTTCAGTGCTCAGTGCAGAGCTTGTCCTTTGAGTCTGTGTTGGGAAGCCAAGCTCCATAAGCTCCCCTTTCTGTTTTAGAAAGGGGCTTCCTGTTCTAGAAAAGCACTCTTGATGGCATTTCATCAATCAATGCTTGTTCCTAAAGCTCTTAAGAAAATGAGAGACAAAGTGAACTAACCCCACCCCAAAGTTCCTCAGTAAAACCTTTTCTGCCTAGAAATGTCCTCTGTTACCAGTCCTTCTACTAGGATACCAAAACATGTGACTGCCACACATTGACCCTTGCTGATTGTGCCTTGAAAGGTGTTGGCAGTAGTTCTGCTGTCAAGAAACATCTTTGTAAATGAAAATACACACTTTGAGTCCTGTAAACCCAGCCAAAACCGTGGGCATTGGTGGCAGGGCTGTGGTTGTGGCCCAGGCTGGCATAAGGCTCGCAGGCAAGAGGTCTGGATCCAGGCTGGATGAGCTTTTGGATGGCTTAGTTGATTTCAAAACAAGTCTGGCAGCATTATGAGGATATGGCACAAAGCCAGTGGAGTGGAGTTGGACATCTGGTTAGAGAAACCCATGGAATGAAGGCAGGAAAAACAGCAGCCCTGAGGCATTTGCCAAGCAAAATCAGACCCAGGGAGGCAGGGTGAGATGTGGCAGGAGATAGAGTGGGATGAAAGGCAGGCTGCAGCCAAAGCACCCCACCGGTGGGTATGGCCCCGTGAGGTGTGGGGTGAGAGGCTCTGATAAGAACTTACAGCTGTTGTGTTCGTGGTGGTGGAGCAGCCAGGGAAAGGCAGCACCAGTGCTGACAAGGAGGCATCTCCAAGCCTTGGAGCTGCTTTGGTTGGACTTTGGGAAAGAGAAGCTGCCTGTCCTAGGTTGTGGAGCAGTTTTGTGGAAAAGACAGACTCAGATAAATAAGCTAAAGCTGCCCAAACTGGTGCAGGTGTCCAGTGTACCTGTTTAAACTGGCTCTGCCTCTTGCTTTCTCCAGCCTTGGTGAGCTGAGGGTGGTGGATTGTTTCAGTCCAGCCTGGCTGCCCTCAAAGTGCATCAGGGCAAGAAGGGACCTTAAACATCACCTCATTTCAGCCCCTGCCATGGACAAGGACACCTTCCACTAGAGCAGGTTGCTCAGAGCCCTGTCCAACCTGGTGCTTCACTGCTCTCTGAGCAAAGGATTTCTTTCTAATATCCAATGTAAATCTTCCCTCTTTTAGTTTAACACTGGTCCCTCTTGTCTTATGCCCATCTCCCAACGTAAAAAGTTGTTTTCTGTGTTTTTTATAAGCCCCCTTTAAGTCCTGGGAGGAGCAGTGAGGTGTCCCCAGTTGTACCCAGCTGAGCTGCTGCATTCCTGCTGAAGGGACAGAGCCTGCAGCTCTGCTGGCTTTGTTTGCCCATCCACCCTGATTTCTGGGGCCTGATTTGCTTCATGTCAGAGCAGAAGTGTCTCTGCCCATCAGACAGTGAGGGGCTAACCCGACAGACAAACCAGATGAAACCACACCAGGATTTTTCTCTCGAGCAAAGCACAAACCCCCTGGGAATTATTTCTGCGTAGCCTCCGCAGCTGTGGTGAATCCGTGGCGATGTTTGCCAAAGGCTGGGCTGTGATTGCTGCCAATTAGAGCTTATTAATTGCTGCTTATCCCCTGGCCAGGGCAGCCACCTCCCTGTGTCCCCTGCGTGTCCCTGTGTGTGCAGAGTGTGCCCTGTGTGTGCAGAGTGTGCCCTTTGCTGTGCCAGAGTCTCTGCACCAGCGCCGTTCACGCTGCCCGGATCTGCGGCCGTGCCTGGAACAGGCTGTTGTGCAACCAGGAAAGCACCTCCTTCCCCTGCTGGCCTCCTCATAAAACTCCTCTTCCTCTTCTTGGTGGTGAGGATCAGCCCTGAGCTTTCAGATCAGATCAGCTGGATCATGCCAGTTGGAGCTGGGATGTTCAGCTCAGAGTTCTGCCGGAGCCTGCTGCGTCCCAGCGAGTCTGGCTCTGCTCTGAGCATGTTCCCACTGACAGCAGCAGGAGAGCAGAGCTGTGGGAGCTGCAGGAGCAGTGGGGTTCTGCAGGATGCTCCAGAGCTGTGTGGTTACCAAGCAGGTCATAAACACTTCAGTGCTCGTTGTTTCCTGTGTTGGATCACAGGGCTGCCGGGAGCCAGCAGGGTTTGGAAGTGCTTTGAGCCAGAGGAGGGGAGGAATGGTGCTCTCAATTTATGAGATGTTGGGAGAGGTAACGTGGGAGGTGGGTGTAGAAATGAGACCTACTCAACCAGGTCTTGAAAGCAATTTTGGAGGCTTTTGCTGCCATTCTGCTTTCACTCTCATAAGCAGAGTTTCTCTGTTTGTAGGTATATTATTCTCCATTTTAGTGTCACCTCTCCTTGCACCTGGCCAGAGGGAGCATGGGTGCTGTTCCCTTGCCCTTGCAGTGTGTTGGGGGTTGGTTTGTTAGAATTGCAGCCCTGTGGTTGCTGCTGTATTTGAGAGGTATTTAAACAACCTCCCTTGTCACGGGCAGGATCTGCAGGGCCTGTGGTGTTGAGGCTGGACTGGGTCCAGCCCTGGAGCTCAGAACAGCTCAGGATGACAGCGTGGAGTAGCACAGGCTCCAACCTGGCAGCTGCCTGTGGAAGTGTTCCTTGTTTCTGGCACGCTGGGCAAACTCAGGCTGCCATGCCCAGCTTTGCCTGTGCCAGACTGGCATCACCCTGATTAGCTGAAGAGGCTCTCCTTGGCAACTGGATGTGCTTCCTAATGGAGGTTTAGATTGGGATTCTCCTGTGGAAACCTCCCTCAGGAGCTGAAGTTCAGCACTGGAGAGCAAGTGATTCTCCCCCTTCATTTTTGCTGCCTCCTCCACCTGTGCATGCCTTCAGTTCTCTTTTGGGATGAGCTGTGCTTGCTCTCCAGCACAGCTTGAGTGTGTGCAGAGCTGCTGGAAGGGATGTATGGAGCAGCTTCTGTTTGCTGCGCCTCCTCCTGACTCGTACTTCAACTCCTTGCACTTTGCAGTCAAGCTGAGGAACACCTGACCCCGGGAGATCCGTGGGCAGGAGGGAGTTTCCAGGTGGAAGCAGTTATTACTGTTGCAGGTGATGATGCTTTTGCAGGGCATCTCCCAGCCAGGTGGCTTAACTGGAGCTGTGAGTTATTGCCAGGTGATTTCATGGGATTTCACAGCTGCTGCAGCAGCTCTGCTCCTTCTCCCAGAGCTGGGGTTGCAGTGAGCTCAGCACCTTTTGCCTTCACCTCATGACTGTGTGTCCCTAAGCCAAGGCAGGACAAAGGGCAATGCCTTCAAACTGATAGAGAGTGTTTAAATTAGGTATAAGGAAAAAATCCTTTCCTGTGAGGGTGCTGAGGCCCTGGCACAGGTTGCCCAGAGAAGTTGTGGCTGCTCCATCCTTCAAAGTGTCCAAGGCCAAGGTGGACAAAGCTTGGAGCAGTCTGGTCTAGTGAAAGATGTTCCTGCCTGTGGCAAGGGGTTGGAAATGAGATGATCTTCAAGGTCCCTTCCAACTCAAACCATTCTGTCATTCTGTGAAGTTTCTAGTACCACAAAGCTGCAGTTTGTGCTGTGGAATGGGGTATTCCTGCCCCTCCTCCTGAGCTGTGTGGTTGGGGTGGAGGGCTCTGCTGTGATCCTGTAGAAACTCCTTGCAAATTCTCTTCTCTTTCAATATTTGCAGAACAAGACTAGATGCACCTCGATTGGAAACAAAATCCCTGAGTAGCTCTGTGTTGCCACCAGGTTATAACTCTGACCGCCTGTCGGGGAGCAACCGGGACCAGATCCTGAAACCAAAGCGGTCCCATCGCAAAGCAGACCCCGATGCTGCCCACAGGTGAGATCACCTCTCCTAACAGCCCTGTTTGGGATGTTGTCTCTGGATCAGTGCATAGCTGAGGTCCCTGGCCTCAGAACATATGTAAAACCATTTTGATTTGCACCTGCCAGGTGCTTTCTGCAATGCCCAGATCTGTTTTATCAGAATGAGCTCTTTATGCGTTCCTCCCAGACTTGTGGAGGCTGAGCTCTGGCTGTAAGCAGCTTACATTGTTTATCCTGTGAGTGGCATAATGAAGAAGCAATAGATTTGGCTGGCTTTTGATAATGCAGTCGTTCAGAACAATAGTTTCCCTGCAGCTAATCATTTTTGACCTCTATTGCCAAGCAACCTGTGCAGCTGCGTTAAACTATATTATGAAAGCAGTCCTGGGAGGGAACGTGAGGGTTTGCTATCTGGGAAAGGTTAAGGACTTCCTGGGAAGCTTCTCAGGCCTGTTTTGATTCCAGAGCTCTGTGTGTGCATTTTTGTGTGAGAAACCAGAATTGTGGATGTTTAAGCCTGACCTTGAGGGAAGCTCCTTGCTGAGGTTTCAGACAAGCTTGAGCTCTGCTGCAAGGCTTCCCTTAAACACCTTGGTGTGAGCACACTGATGGCTGTGAGTGATGGCCAGCCTGCCAGCTGTCCTGCATATTCCAATTCCAAAGCTTCCTGAGGATCCAGATGGCACTCTCTGCACAATGGGTACAACCCAAAAGTTGACTTGGTCGCAGGGCTTGGCTGCCACGCAGTCCCAGCCCTGTTTGAACCTGTCCTGGAGGGAGGAGGGTGGGGATGAATTGTTTGTGAGCAGTGTTCATTCACCTGGATGCAGGCTGGAGGATGGAGGAGGGTCTGAGGCTGGGCTGCAGATGCAGCTTCCCTGGGTGTCCGATTAGAGGAGCGATCATGCGGGACAAATGTGCACGTCCCTCTGAGCTGTTTTTCAGCCTGGTGTGACCTTATCAGGCTGTGGGGGATGGCTTGCCTAGGCTCCTGCAGCAGATGGGTGTGAAAAACATGTTTTTCTCTTTCTCTGGCCTCAGAGGCTCCAGTATAACAGGTAATTCTCATGGATATCATAGTGGGATCTGTCAGGAACCACTCAGATAAAGTGAGTGCTGTGTGCTGCCCACCAACCCAGTCCTGCTGGAAAGTTATCAGAGGCAGCTCTGCAGAAATAACAATTACACTCTGTTAATATTTGAGAGGACAAAGGATTTTGGAGCTGTGGTGTGATCCTGCACCATAAGGAGCTCAGCTCTGTGCCATAATTCTGCTGCAGTAGAGACAGACCCTCTGCCCAAGGGATTTTTCTTGGGGCCACAAGCTGCAAGTTAAAGAGGTTGGCTGGAAGTGTTCTGGTGGAGGTAAAGGCCAGAGCCTTGGGAAGGGAAGGAGCTGGCCCATCATAGCCAAGTTCTCAGCTCCTCTGGGGAGGTGGAACTTGGTGATTTGTTCCTGCTCTGCCAAGTGCCCAGTGCTGGGAGAGCAGTGGGAAAACAGGCAGAGCTGTCAGTGCAGGTAACTGCAGACAGCACCCAGGAGGAACCCCTGGATCCCATCGTGCTGTGCTCTCACTCTTGTTTCCTCCCTCTGCACAGGCCACGGATTCTAGAAATGGATAAGGAGGAGAACAGGCGTTCAGTCCTCTTACCAAAACATAGGAGACGGAGCAACTTCAGCTCTGAGAACTATTGGCGACGGTCGTACGAGTACACGGAGGACTGTGAGGATGAGGAGGAGGACGGCAGCCCCGCCAGGAAGGTTAAAATGAGGCGACACTGAGGATTGCACTTGCCAGGCTCGTGGAGCTGATGAGATTGGCCTCCAGTCTGTGAAAACTTTCTCCTCCCTCTGGCTATCTTCCATCTAGCTTCAGTTTTGGTTTTTCCTTTCAGGCTGAAGAGTAAACAGGAAGGATTTGGTTTTATGAATGGAGGAATGCTGAGACATACGTGAGGATGGAACATGTCCAGTGCACATGGTGTCCTGAGTCGTGGCTCAAGTGGGCATCTCTCCCTTAGGAAGCAGATAAAGTTATGCCAGGTTGTCTGTTGGGATTTCTTTTGAAAACACCAAAAAGTTTAACTCTTTCATTGCGCAAGATTCAAGAATTGTATTTTTGTTTTGATTTTTTTTTTGTTTTTGTTTTTCTTTTTTTTTTTTTTGCTTTAACACTTTTCCTTTCCAAATGTTCTAAATATGATGTTTGACCCCAGGAGCTGAATTTCCATGGTGGGCTGGTATTCCTTGTTTCACCAAAGGGCTCCTTGGTCTTTTTTACCTGGTGGTTGTCGGGTCTGTTTTAAGGATGCCCTGCAGTAACTGGAAGTTTGAAGCTTTGCAGATCCCTCTTGCTGCGATCGATTTCAAAGGGTTTAGGACATTTTTGTTGCACTTTAGTGTTTTAAATGCCGTAGGTTTCCTTTCCAGACCCTTTTCCCAAGCCAGCATGGGCTCACAGCCCTGTGTCCCTGCGCTGCCCTCTCCAAGAAGAATGTACAAGAGCTCTGGTTTCTCAGTGCTGGTCTGGAGGAGGGAAAGGTGGCCCAGCATTGTCCTGAGGTCCATATTGGAATCTCAGGGCTGCCAAGTGAGGGATCACACTGAGCACGTGCTGCTTCCCAGAGCTGGGGATAGCAAGGAGGAGTAGGAGACGCTGTGCTTGTGAGGGTTTGTGCCTTGGGACCCCCCAGAAGAGCCCTTCTCCACTGCCCCTTCCAGGGGGGGGAGAGCTGAGTCGGTGCAGCATTGCCAGCACAGTGTCCCATCCTGATGGAGCAGGAGCTGCTGTGGCCCTGGGGGAGCTGAGCAGCTCTGTCCCCTCCGAGGCTGGCTCTGGGAGCAGGGACACTGCAGGGCTCCAGGTTGGCCCCAGTTCAGTGCATCCAGCACTGAGGTTGCCTGCTTTCTCCTGGCTTATTCCTGCCTGTGTTCCTGGGGTAGGGAGTTTTCTGGTTGCTACAGGAAATGCTGAGAAGAATCAGGCATTCAGCCCCATGGAGTTGTGATAGAGCATCTGCCATCATCATCATCATCATCCTCCCACCTGGTTTGTGTTAGCCCAGACCAAAGCCTTGGTGTTTGCAAAGTTTGGGGCCCAATGCCATATTTAGAGCTGTACTTTTAAGGAAAACTTCCTCCAGTTGATTCTTTGAACCCAAGTGTTGGCAGTTGTAAGGAGTAGTCTTTATTTTTAAATTTTTACTGCTTTGCCCTCCCTCCAACTGTAGTTTTTCTTAGTGTCGTGTCCCCCACACACTTCATGGTCTGCACGCTTGGCAATAAAAAGATGTAATATATTTTGAAACTTGTTTGCTGCTGTCTTGAGGGGCTCCTGGTCTAAAACAACCCCCCAGGCGTTGTTCCCTGCAGTGCTGATCGAGGACATTTGTGACATCTGGGTCCCACTGTCCTTTTCCTTCCCTGCTGATTTTCACCTGGTGTTGGGGTTCTGCTCAGGCTGGATCTTGTCACACGAGCTCAGAGGATGTTGCCATCACCTTCAGCTGGCTGTGGGGGTGTTGGTGAGCTCCCCAGTGCCTGGTTTGCCTGGTGAGAGCCCCCACTGGCTCTGTGCTGAGGCACAGCCTCTGAAGGAATGTGGCTTGTCAATCCAGAGACCCAAAAGTTTGTGCTTCTGCTGCTTGTGAAACTTTGGAAATGCCATTTTCATGTAGCATTTGAAGCGTTGTTCCTCACCCCACCAGCTTTCTGCTGCGAATCCAGGCCAGCTCTTGGCTACAAACCCCCTGTTCTGGGCAGCTTGGCATCCCCCTGACAGCAAAACTGCATGCAGGGAGCACAGATCCCTTCTCCTCCTGGTGGCTTCGTGTTTCTGGATCCATCCTGGCCATGCCCTGTTCCTGTCACGGTGCCAGGCTCTGCTGTGGGTGCAGATGGGGACAGAGGTCACTGCCAGAGTCTCAGCTCTGCCCTCTCCCCTCCTGGCTCTCAGTTTTATCCCTCCCTCTCCAATATGGATATTCTACCCTGGTGTCAGAATGAAGCTGGAGCAGCTGGCCTTTCAGAGCAGGACTTCCATGGGATGAGGAGCTGGCTGTGGAAATGCTGAGCTCTTACACCTCCAGCCTGTTCCCAGCCACCACCTCATCCTGCTCCTTGTGCAGGCTGAACATGTGCAAGATTCCTTCCCCAGCTTGTGTTGGTATTCCTGCATGTCCTGCTCGGGAGCTTCCCCCTTTTCCTTGTCCCCATCCATGCAGTGGGTCAGAGCTGGCAGCCGTGGCTGGGGGGACAGGAGGGGCTCCTATCCAGCCACCATCTGCTCTTGGTTTTTAACCTGACTGCTTGGGGCTTGACATCTTGGAGAGAGAGAGAGGGAGCAGGATCCCTCAGGAGAGGAGTCCCCAGCGTGCAGGCAGGGCCAACTCCCCACTTGTACAGACATTTTCTATAGACACGGATGTATATGTGTAGATAACATGGTTTTTTAACTCTTTTGCACTGAACAACAGCAGAGTGAAACCTGGATTCGAAACTAGAAGACATTTTTCACACGGATCCAGAGGTCTGGATCCTTCCTGTAACCTGTCTGGTTGGAACTGTGGCTCAGAATTCCTGGTTTTCACTGTTGGGCTGCACACAGGCATCAGGCCGGGCTGGGGGTGAGCAGGGAGTGGGGTGAGCTCGGATTTGGAGGTAAAACTTCTCCCCAGGCTCCTGCCGAGCCCTGATCCTGTTGGTTTGTGTGTGTCTGATCTGGCTGTGTGTGGTCCAACCTCTCCATCCACCCACAGCGTGTCCGTGCTCAGCCCCACACTTGGGGCTCCATCCAGTGGGACAGCCCATGTGCCCAGAGCCCAGAGCAGAACTGTCTTTCCTAAGGAAGGGAGAGCAAAGTGGGGTTCATCCCTGCTTTTCCACCAAGAACAGGAGGAAATTGGGGTTTGTTGCTGTTACCGTATCTCAAGAAGGTTCAGTGGTGGAATTATCCAAGCCCATGGATCCAAACAGCACCAGGACTCAAGCCGGGCCAGGGTCTAGACCCCCACCAGCAGCAGAGTCTTTTACCTGCCAAAAGTGTTCCCTTTTCCCTGTTGGGAGGAGAAACATTTGATTGAGAGATGTCTCTGCTCCTTTCCCTGCCCACACTTAGAAGTTCTGGCTGACTTTCATTTTTGTTTTTTAAAAGATTCTAATTTTTTTTTTTGTTACCAATAAAAAAATAAAAATTAAAAAAAGATAATAATAAAAAAGAAAGTGGCAATATTTTTTTCTGTAAGCTTTTCCTAGGAAAAAGCGTGGTTTGTAACAAAGTTGTACAGTTCTGAAGTTTGAGATACGAGAAGTACTGTGTGAAACGCTGTAAATGGAGCAGAGATTATTTTATGTACAGTCTGAGGTGGGGGAATCTTTTAATTCCAGTTGATTCTTAGGAAGAATTTGGTTCTTCACTGTCAGGGTTTGGAATTTCATGGTTTCATTTTTTTTTTTTTTTCCTTGTATAGATTGCTGCATTAATTGAATAAAAGCAGAAAGCATCTCTTGGCCTGGTTGTGTGGTACTGGGAGCTGGGATGTGCCTCGATCCCCCCTGGCAGGAATGAGAATTGGTTTGGGAGCAGGGAACTGGTTCTAAATAAAGGGGAGTCACCATCTCCCTGGGGACAGGGTGGCCAAACTTGGTGGCTGTGCTTCCTGTGCTGTCCTAGAAAGCAGGGACAGGGATCTCTGCCTTCCTCCAGCACCCTGGGCTTCGGCCTCGTCTGAGCTCCTCTTCCTCCAGGTGTTTCCCTCCTGCAAGAGGGAGATAATGGGGTGGGTGTGAGGTGCCAGAGGGGGCATGGATGGGATCTCCTGGTCTGTGGTATTGCTTCTCCTCTCCTTTCTTCTTCCTTTCTTTCCTCCTCTCCCTCTCTTTCTCCCTTCTCTCTCCCATCCTCATCCTCCTCTCCATCTCTCCTCTCTCTTCTTCCTCTTCTCCCTGCTTCTTCCCTCTTTTCTTCACACCTCTTTACCTCTTATCCCCTTCCTCCGCCTCTTTCTCTCCTCCCCTTTTCACTACTCCCTTCATTTTCCTTCCTCCTCCGAGTTCTTCCTCCTTTTCTTTCTCCTCAGAGCAGGCCCACCCTGCCCCCTCTCACTCCCGGGGGCTGTGCCGGTGCTCCAGGCCCCTCCATCCATCCCCCCGTGACCCTCAGCCCATCACCGGGACGTGTTCCCCGCTGGCCCCGGGCTGTTTTCCGCCCCAGCCCCCGCGTCAGCCCCGAGCCGATCCCCCCGGGCCGGGTTAGTCAGCAGGGAGGGGAAGCCGTGCCCTGCCCGGGCTGACTCACCCCAAAACCGGGCGCAGGGCAGGCTGCTCCCCCTCCCACCTTGCCGTGATGCCGTGGGGGGAATGGGGAACAACATTCCCGGTGCCGTGGCGGGGAGAATAAGTGGCCAACCGGGAATGAGGCTCGGATGCTGATTGTGGGAGCCGGCGGGATGCTGCGGGCCTGGGAGTCGGGCCGCCGCCATGTTGATGCACCCCATGGCTGTGGGGCACACCATGAGACCCTAAATCCACGACACCCCGTGTTTGTGGGGGGCTGTGACCACGGTGACTAGGCTTGGGGCAGGCTCACTGTCTCTCACTATGCCCACGGAGAAGGAAGAAACCGAAAGAAGAGTATTTTAAAAACAATATAAATAAACCCAGCGCAGAGGGCGTTGAGTTGGACGACTACACGTCCCATCGGCCGCCGCGGCAGCGCAAG